TCAGGAGCCAGAGGCTTTGTCTCAGCTCTTGCTAGATTTTTGATTGGGGCAGGTTATAGGTACAACATTAACACCCCCACTCCCCATTACAGTAGCTCCACTGGCTGCCATTTCTGGGCAAAATTTCAAGTGCTGGTTTAACCTATAAAACCCTAAATGGCATATGGGAATGTGTGCATATGCATGTTCCTTTGGCCCTCAAAAATGTGGAGTGTATACGATGTGGCCCTCCTGCTGAAAAGTTTGGAGACCCCGATCTAGCCCATTACTGAAACCAGGCACCAGTTTAGGATATTATTTGGTTCCTAATGCCCATAACCCTACAGAAGCTATAGAGAACTCTGTGGGCTGGTTCTCCAGTCTTCCCATAAGAAGAGAAACAAGCAAAAGAAGAGGACTGGATTACTAGTAGGTCATCACACCACAGACCTTAAATGGTCAAATGTACAGTATATATTACCTCACAGGTCAGCAGAAGGAGAGAACTGCCTGACCTATGAAGCAACATTCTGGTGAAAAGGAAGACATTCTTGCATCTTGCCCACCAACTACAATGGGATCAAACTATAGTTATACCTATGAAAGTAGAACCTTGCTGATAATAGTGCTGTCTCTACTACAGTCATGTGAAAAACAAAGCACACCCTCTTTGAATGCTATGGTTTTATACATCAGACCTTGGCAGGCTTGAAAATTAGGTAAATACAACATCAGGTGAACAAAAACACATGACATATTACACCGTGTCATACCTGGGGAATGTTGGGAGTTACAATCCTGAAATATAAAACTGCACAGCTTTACTCACCGTTACTCCTGCTCAGAATAAAAGCTCTCCTACCTTCACACTCCACTACACATTTCCTCCTTATACAGAAGTTTTGTTGCCACAGACCACCAAGACTTACGATATAAAACCCCAAAGTGCATCAAATATTTCAAGATTCTCATGAAAGATTTTCAAATTGGAGAGAAGGAACAAGTTAATATTTTAACGCACACACTCTTTTTATAATACAGTGGTGCCTCGCTTAACGGGCGCCCCGTTTAACGACAAAATTGCATACCAACGAACTTTTTGCGATCGCTTTTGCGATGTTTTAAATGGGGAAAAATCGCTTTGCGATGATCGGCACCCTGTTTCGCTTACCGATTATCGCAAAGCGATGATTTTCCCCCAGCTGATCGGTGCTTCCAAAATGGCCACCGGGTAAAAAAAATGGCTGCCCGCTGTGTTTAGGGACGGATTCCTCGCTTACCGGGCAGTGAAAATGGCCACCGTATAGAGGATCTTCGCTTAAAGGTCAGTTTTTAGCCCACAGGAATGTATTGAAGGGGTTTCAATGCATTCCTATTGGGCTTCTTAAAATTGCATAGCGACGAATTCGCTTTCCAACGATTTTTGCTACACCGATTAACGTCACTATGCGAGGCACCACTGTATTTTTATTGGAATGATTCCATGCAAATTTAATATTGCTTAATATCTCAAAAATCCCCATGTCAATAATTTTAAATAAAACTGGATTGGGCTACCCAATTTCAGAACAAGCAGGGCTATACATTGATGACCTAAAACTATATGCAAAAAGTTCCATGGAGATAAAACCGCTGCTAAACACAGTGCAATTATTTAGTGAAGATATTCAACTGAAATTTTAAAATGACAAATGTGCAGCTCTATCTATACAATGTGGTAAGATCCAAAAACTAGATGGAATAGAGTTAAAATTGTGATACAGTATAATAAAATCACTATCAAATGATGAACATTATAAATACCTTGGAATACTAGAAGCAGATAACATCCTGCACACAAAAGTTAAAGAGTTGGCAAGGGAATACACCAAAAGACTGCGGAAAATCTTAAAATCAAAATTGAATGGCAGAAATACAATCAGAGCCATAAACACATGGACAGTTCCAGTATTTAGATACCCAGCTGGAATAACAGATTGGACCCAAAATGAATTAGAAGAATTGGACTGAAAAACATGGAAACTAATTAACATGGTTCACATACTATATCCAAAAAATGATGTGGACACATTATATTTATCATGAAAAATTGGAGGGAGTGGATTCCTGCAAATACAGCAGATACTAGAGGAGGGAAAAAGAAGTCTAAATGATTATATTACTACAAGCTGAGAAAAATTACTTAAGGTGGTGAAAATGGAGAATATTTTGAAAATGACAGAAAGAAAGGCTCAATATAAGAAACAACAATTTGAAAATAAACTAAACAGTTGGAAAAGCAAGCCACTACATGGACAACACCTGGGAAATATTGATGGAAGGCATGATAATAATTCATCATGGGTATGGCTAAAACTAGAGACCATTAAGAAAGGAACCAAAGGCTTGATTTTGGCTGCAGAAGAACAAGCCAATGTGATGAAAACTAAGATTCAAGGAATTAGTGCTAACAGAAAATGTAGTCTCTGCCAAGAAAAAGATGAAACTGTGTCACACCTCATCTGCGAATGTCCAAAGATTGCACAACAGATTACAAAATTACCCATAATAAGAATGGCAAAATTAGTGCACTGGTCATCATGCAAAAAATATAACTCGTCAGCTTCCAAAAACCCACGGGAACGTCGGGTAAAGTAAATGTAAAAAAATTATGGTCAAGATCTTGTGGGATTTCCAGATCCAAACTGATAGACACCTCAAAGATACCACACCAAACATAGTAGTAAATAAATGAAGAAACGTCTGGAAATTGATGGAAACAATGATGTAAGTCTTCCAAATCGTGTGTAAAAAGGGATGTGTCCTCCTTAGACAACTCTTTGTTAGTGAAATCAAGAAAACTTGTGAGGTTTGGATATGTCTCATAGTTTCAGTTTGATAAGTGATGATGCCACAATTCCAACTTTGTTTTGCTATTAGTTGAGAGACTTCAAATGTTACAACCAGTTGCAATCTCTTTTTACCATTTTCTTACTTTCTCAAAACTCGTGCTTCTGGAAAAAAATGATGCTCATTGTGGCATGTTCTTTATGTTTATTATTGAGATGTCTTCACAATTTTGATGGTTTCTTGGCCTCGTTGGACAATATCTCATAACACACCGCTGTAGCAGTTGCTTGTCCTTGGAACCTGTACATGTGAAGCCAATCAACAGATATTCTTTGCTATAACTGTGACACTTTTTAAGATGAATAGAAGAAGCTTCTTTTTGCTTTGAGCAGGATGCACCCTCATCAATATCATCAGTTCTTTTACGCTTCAAATTCACCCCGAGATCCATTCTGAGGCTCAGCCAAAATACATTATTACAAAATTAACTGTGATTATATTGAAAAATCACTTTACCCGACAATAACCAAATGGTTTTATTAGCAGAAATCAAAGATGAAACATGATCATGAGGTCCGTCCACTCACTCACTCACACTGACCGACTCCCTCTTCCTGTAACTTCTGACTGCGCAGTAGCAAGAAATGTCACGAGCTGTGTCTCAGCCACTCAGTGTCATTCACTTGCATGTTATCACCATGTACAGAAACATGAAACAGTTATTTGCTACCAAACAGTTATTTTCATAACTTTTTTTTACTTTTGTTTGTTTTTAATGGAGATGGTAGGTTAGAAAAGCCAAGTTCTACACAAAGGAAATTACATTTTTTTCGATGTTTCCTTTTCTTTCTTCCTTTCTTTCCTGCAAAAGATCATAACAATTTTTAAGCCTTTTTGGATCCTCTATGAAGACCTCATGCCCCCCCGGGGGTCTGCAGACCACAGGTTAGGACCCTACAGCATAGACTCCTTAGAAATCGTTTACTGGGACTATGCAGCTTGCCCAAGGCTACACAGCCTAACTATATCCAGAAAACAGAGTAGAATTGAACTTGCAATTGATTACTCTTCAGTGAAGTACCCAACTCATAGAGTAGCTGTTTTAAATAAGATCAGTATCCTCCAAGGTGAAAATTCCTGTCTCAAGCTTATTCTGAGATATTTCAGCTCTGCTTTGGAATTCAGTTCATACAAGAGAGCCTGGCCTTATCATCTGGCCCCCATGATTTTTGGGGCCTTTTCTTTTTCTCCTCCCTTCTTTCAGTTCTGTACTGGTCTGATGAAAAGTCCTTCAAGTCTCAAAGTGGCTCATGTGTGAAATGTTAGTTTTCTAATAAGTACACCAACAACCCTTGGTGTGTTTTTTGGGTGGTGGTGGTAGAATGCTATAAACATCTACCTGGAAGTAAGTCTTTTTTAAACATGGTGGAATTGCTCTGAGTAAACCTATCCAGGATTACAGTACTAGGGTCTCTCCCAGTTAGATCAGCAAGGTTGGCTTAAAAGTCCTGACCTTTGGCTGAAATGTGCCCAATGCTTATTAATTGCTTCTCCACCACTGACTGTGTGATGTGCCACACAGGTATGTGAACAAATATGATATAAAAAAGCCATTAAATGAAACAAAATAAATGGTGTTCACTTCATTTAAAAGAATTTGGCTTTTAAACAGAGTGAATTTGATTTAAATCAAATCCATGTGAATCACTAATCAGTAAGAATTTTTATCAGAAATCAAATTTTTTTAAAAAACGGATTTTTAAATTTAAATTGGTTTTTAAATTTTAAATGTTTTTTTAAAACAAAATGATCACTGACTCGTGATTTAAATCAATCCACCCTGCTTTTAAATGTCTCTAAACATTCTGGATTGCTTTCTCCCGCCAAAATCCTCCGCGCTACTTCCAACACTCGAGTTTTTTTCCCATTTACTCCCCTGTTTATGTTATCTGGACCAGTCCCATGCCGAGCTCCCCCTCCCCTTTTGAATGGTTTGTTCCGCAACCTCTCAGGCAGATGGCACAAAGTCGCTAGGCTGGAAGTAGGGTCTCCCTTTCCTTCCTTCGTATTTATTGCTTTCTCGTGCAGCTCCTCCGATCTCGCGAGAGATCCTAATTGGTTCCCACGCCTGTTGTGTCTGTCTCTTGAGACACGGAGAGCTGGTTTGTGAGTGAGTAAGTGGGCGAGGCAAAACTGCCGACTCCGTTCCCTCCGTAGCCCCGCCCCTCTGCTTTTTGTTTTTCTTGCTTCTCGTAGTGGTGACAAGAGGTTACTTTTGCGCGTGCGCTTGCTGGCTGGGGGTGGGTGGGTGGATGGGTGGGGAACGGTTGGGATGCGCGCGCGCGGACGCTTGCCTGGTGGACACATTGCCTAGTCTCGCGAGAGTAGGAGTTTTGGCGAGAGTTTGTGGAAGATGGCGCCTGTTGTGACAGGGTAAGTGCGGGGGGATTCGCGGCATAGTTCCTTTGGGGTCGCTTTCTCTCCCTGTTAAGCGTCTGGTCGGCCGTTTATCTTTTCACGGTGGTTTGTCGGCTGTGGCTTTGGGTCGGAATTTCTTTCTCCGTTGGACCGCTAGAGCTGCTTCGCCCGAGGGACCGGGATTGGGAGGAGGGGGGGGAGGCCGCGACTCCCGGTGACTGAGTGCTGAGGAGTTCGGTTTGTGAGGGTGGCGGCTGGAGAGTTGCTGCTTAAGCACGCGCTGTTGTGTAGGTTGGGTCTCTGCTGTGGGAAGAAGCTCTGGGTTTTTCCGAGCGCCCACGGCTGAAAAGAGCGAAGGGCAGCTTTCCCGACAACAAGTGAAGGAAAGAACACACGAACAGGCTTTGCCTGTGTTAGGCTGCGGGTCTCTTCGGCTCACCACGGCGTTGTTTGTGACGTGCCTACCGAATGGTCCTCTGCAACAGAAGTCCTGAGTTCCCATTACGAGAGGGCCAGCAAGAACTTTTTGTGTGTGTTTGATCTTGTTACCTTTGGGAAGTGGATGTGTGTTGTTGTTCACACTTACCGAAGGGAAGATGGGATAATAGAGAACACAAGAAAAAAATTCAGGTGGGGGTACCTGATACTTTTGACACTGGGTATGTTGCAATCTCTAATGAGGAAGAGCCTTTTAAAGTGAAAGGTGTCATTACATGGCTAAACTGGCCATTGTCTGTTGCATAATGTAATTACTTTCCCCATTCTGTTGTTGAGTTATTCCCTGAGATTGGTTTCATCTTGGCACTGTCCAGCCTTCCGTGTTTCTTTTAGAAAACATTATCAGCAAAAGTGAATTGTAAGACTGCTATATGAGAAAACAAGTTGGAATCAGATAAAAGGATTAAAACTAAATTATCTACATTTGCTAATCTGAACATTATGGTGGTCTCCCTGGAAATTGTGGAGAAGAGCTTTGTCATGTTGCAGGTAGGAGACAAGCATTTAGAGGACATAGACCAGTGTTTCCCATCTTTGGGCAGCCAAGGTGTTAGTGGACTGCAACTCCTAGAAACCCTGGCCAGTACAGCTAATGGTGAAGGCTTCTGGGAGTTGTATCCCAAGAACACCTGGGTTACCTAAGGTTGGGAAACACTGGTCTTATACATCTGCCTGTAAGGCAACTCCATCCTCTGAGTCTGTAGAAACTGTCCAATTTCAGCCATCTAGGGTATACTGCTTTTAGTTTCATTTCTCTGTGAGCCATCCTTAGTAGAGGTCAGCAGAGGAAGAAATCTAGGATGAGATTGTCAGTGTAACTTCTTGACAGCAGTTGGCTGTCCTCAGTCATTTGTGTATATGGAGCATAATTCTGGAAACCATCTTGCTAAATAGCTTAAGGGAGAGTGGTTTGATACTGCAGTTTGTGAAACAGTGAAAGGAAATGCCATGGCTTCAACTTTTATAGAATCTTGCCTTATTCTACAAAATATTGTCTTATTCTATTAGGAGAATTTTTTAAAGGCTTGACTTCATGCGTTATGGTGAAAAATAGTTGATTTATTCCGGAAAATAAAGTTTTGATTTCAGTTTTTACCTTTTACAGTAAAGAAGCATGGCTTCCAATCCCTAGTTTGCTTCTTTTCAGTCATGTAGTACTGAGGAGGAAAGCTGTAAAGCCATACTTGCAACATAGCATGCCAACAGTTATGTCAGTGCAATATTACAAAACTTCCTATTGGTTACTATTGCTGTGGCAGTTTTAGTGCCGGAGGCATGTGTGTAGGGTATCAGGCTGTGGAATACTGTTATAATCTTACAAAAAATGGTCTATTTAAAAAAAATGTAGTGAAGAAAAACAATGGCTTTTCAACAGTAAAAGTTTAAAATATTGTTACACTTGTGGTTCTTCCAAGCAGCTGTCTCGAAGAATTCTGTGATTTGGGCTGAGTATTTGCAACCTTCCAAATTTTTACTCCTGTGATTATTTTAATGTATTTTTGGAGAGTAAATTATGTTTTTGATTCTGTAAACAAATGGGCATATATGATGCAGATGAAGATGCACTGCAGACTTAGGCTTCATACTGATATCTGTTATGCATCCACAAAAAGAGGAAAAAGTTTCATAGTTTTAGATTCTGTGCATAGTGTGTACATTTTGGAATATTTCGTTGTCTTTATTGACATATTTTTATAGACTGTCACACCTGTGGCTCTTCTGAACTTTTGTAGCCTACATAAAACCAAGTGTTGTGTGTTTTGCCAGAAATGACTTCCATTTGTGTGGATGGAAAAGCAGTCTTGTAATTTTCGTAAAAGTTTTGTAAAGCCTCATTATGATACTGAGTTCTTAATGGATGATGCTTAGCATATTGAAGACATGCCTTTCCTTCATGTATTGTGTTCTGCAAGACTGTGAATCATCTTTTTTGCCATGAAATTGGGCTGTGTTTAGAGAATTCTGTTTGTTCCATAGCTAGAAATCACTCTTCTGTTTTTTTCCTAAGAAGAACCCATTGCAGTTCAAGTGAAGTACTTTTCAAAAGTATGTTAAATCTTCTTTCTTAATCTGTTATTTGGTAAACTGAGGACAAATATGGTAGATACTACTTATGTGTACTATTGTCTCTTTGTGAAAAAAAAATCCCAGGTACAATTGGAATTCATTATCAGATTATATATCCCGTTTCCCCCAAAATAAGACCTAACCTCAAAATAAGCCCTAGTATGATTTTTCAGGGTACTCGTAATAAATGAAACCCCACCCTCGACCATTGTGCAGCATCCAGAAGAAGATGACAGGACTAGATGTGAATAGCTTTAGATGGTTGTATATGAAAAAAATAAAACATCCCCTGAAAATGAGCCCTAATGTATTTTTGAACAAAAATTCATATAAGACCCTGTATTATTTTCGGGGAAACACAGTATTATTATCCATGGAGGTTTGTGATGGAGAAACTGAAAAATCTGAATTTACAAATTAGTCCTTCTTTGTTTTTAAGTGAGAGGAGTGATTTCCAAATTGACTTATTAAAAGTTCTAATTGCTTGGGCTTTCAGTCTGTTAGACGTGGTAGAAATTCAGGAAACATTTCTGAGTATAGCAGGAGAAAGATAAAGTAAGTTGAGAAAGTGAAGGATTAAGTAGTAGCAGTAGACATGTGGTCCACATTACGAAGAGACATACTAAGTGGGTTTTTCAGTTCTTAAATGTTCATTCTTAATATTGAAAAGGCCATGTACTCTTTTTTCTTATTGTTTTGTGTGCTGAAATGTACAAAAGATTATTTAGATTGGCTTCTGAAATTCTGACCTTAAAACGTTCTGCTAGCGACATAGTAGCCGATGCTCAGTCAGTCATTTTGGTATAAATGTCCCACCCCTTTCATGTGAAGCAATATTACAGCAAATATCGGGTGTGGAGTTGCAGAATGAAAGAGAAAACGTCCAGAAATTTTAAAGCATTCTCCCAGTAATAATTCCATATAAGATTTGTTCACTGTTCCACCCATCCCCCCCGGCAACTCTTGAAATTCAGTCCTTTCTAAAGGTAAAGGTTCCCCTTGACAATTTTTGTCCAGTCGTGTCCGACTCTAGGGGGCGGCGCTCATCCCGCTCTTCAAGCCATAGAGCCAGCGTTTGTCCGAAGACAGTCTTTCCGTGGTCACATGGCCAGTGTGATTTAGACACGGAACGCTGTTTACCTTCCCACCGAGATGGTACCTATTTATCTACTCGCATTTGCATGCTTTCGAACCGCTAGGTTGGCGGGAGCTGGGACAAGCAACGGGCGTTCACTCCGTCGCGTGGATTTGATCTTACGACTGCTTGGTCTTCTGACCCTGCAGCACAGGCTTCTGCGGGTTAGCCCACAGCGCCACCACGTCCCACGTCCTTTCTACTGGTGGAAAAAACAAAAAAATCAAGAGTCATGGGAAAAATCCATTTCCTTCCCAATTTTTTTCCTGGGTCTTCAGAACTCTCAATGAGGAAAAGAATGAGTTTGTTACTAGCATGGTGTGGCTTTAGTAAAATAATTTTGGAATAATTTGTGATATGTATAAGCTGAAATTTCCCATTGAAATTAAATAATTTCTTCATAAATATGATATTTTTCAGAATGTTTTCTGTGAAACATTTATTGAGTGCTTAAAGCAAAGGTTGCAGACTTTTGGTATGTAGGTTTTTGAGGCTGTGGATCCCATCAGCCTCACCAGCATGGCTAACAGTAAGAAGTTGTGGAAGTTTAAATCTGAAATATCTGAAGGATCAAAGGCTCCCTATGCCTCCTAAGTAGCATCAGTATTTTGAGAAAAGTTTTTCTGGAAACAGGAAAAACAATAGCCAGTTAGGTAACCTCTCTTAAAAGAATTGAAAAGATCAGTCAGCAACATATGTTTAACTTTGTTATCCTGTGACATGCATGAAGACAGCTATTGGGAACAATGTTTTTGAAATTTAATGTGGGATATTGTACTTCTGTACTTACTACCATTCACCAAGTGACACCAACCAAAAGAAAATGCCAGAAGCTGACTCCTTTTTTCATCAGTTAACCTCTTTTCACCCATACAAGAAGCTATTTTCAGGACTGTATTTCAATAAGCACAAATGGTAGTGAGCAGTAGAGGGGATCTTACAGACCAGTGTTATCCACTCTTGGGTCTCCAGATATTCTTGGACTACAGCTCTCAGAAATTCTGGCCAGTACAGTTGGGGTGAAGGATTCTGGGAGTTTTCGTATATTCACTAAATGCTGCCCACATCATCTCAAGACAGAAAATTTATTAATCTGGCCACTACAGCTAGTGGTGAAGGCTTCTGGGAGTTTTTGTCTATTCACTAGATGCTGCCCACATCATCTCATGAAACAGAAAATTTATTATCCTGATCTTGTGCCTTTGCCTTCTCTTTGCAGTGAAAAGCCACATCACGAACATCCTCACTTCCTTTGTGATACAATTTTTACACACATCTCCCGTGTTATGTTGAAACAGTCATTGGTGTGAAACAC